CCGGCCTCTTCGCCGATGGTGCGTGGGCAGAGCTGGCGGGAGGTGCATCTCGGTTTTGGGGCCCTCAGGCGATTTATAGACCGTGTTTGTCCGGGTCCTTGTCAGTCATGGCGAGGCACGTCGTAATTTCAGCAATTCGAGATTCATGTCGATAGGAGAGACCTTGCAACTGCTGCCGAGCGGACCTGCTATTGTAAAGCAGGGGTTTCTCAAAAAGCATGTGATTTTGTACTCATGTCTCGCTATGAGCCCGAGAGTTTGGGGTTTCCGCACAGGTGCTTCGGGCGGCTGAAGCTACTCGGGACGCTGAGACAAAGAATTCGACTACAAGCCCCTAGCATGCTCCAGCCGGGATCTTCAGAACACCGGGTCATCATCCCCTCCCAGACGGAGTGCACTGTTCCATGGGCCCCGAAGTATTTCATTCGTCAACTCAACTACTGAGTAGATGTTGGCCCTGAGAAGAGACGGACAGGATAGTACCCTAGAGCTCCATAGTAGTTCCTTTATCGGGCTCATATTTAACATCCTATAAGGTAACCCCCAAAAGGAACTACTTTGGAGCCTCTGGGTAGAGCCCTGGCACTTGCTGACTTTCGTCTATACGGCCTCGATCCTGGAAGACTTTGCTCCTCAGGCCATTTGCCCACACCCGGTCAGATCCCCATGCTGGTAGTGCTTTTCACGGGCGTGCACAGTAATGATGACAAGGGGAAAGGCCCTTCTGACTCTTGTGCTCCGAAGGAGCACGAGCACCCAAAACCAGTTGTGCCCAGATGTGTTGGGCACTTCCCTGAAAACCTCTGGTTGAACGGCGTGTGACTCTCAACAAAGAGCGCTGCGAAATGCGCGTTCCGCGGGCCAAAGCTGCGTCAAAGGCCGGAAGCTGTATTCGACACACCGGATTATCGGTTAGCGGCCCTTCTCTCCACAAAAAGCTCAGGAAAGGGGCTTCTCACTTCTATGTAAGACGATGTAAAGCCATTTGGGGGACAGCTGCGGGCTGCAGTTGCCGGCAGGCTTAGAGTGCTTCTAAGCAGATGCAAGGAATTCAGAGCAGTTAGGATGCGGCTGAGACTGGGCGGACTGGGCACTCTGAACAGACTGAGGCGGAATGACCTGCGAAAGCACGTATGTCAATGTATGTGTAGGCTTGTGCATGGGTTGGAGGCATAATGTCATAATGACACGCATAAAAACAACTATAACATAGCACCCGCACACACCAATCCACTAAATGCACATTCATCCACACACATGCATGCACACAAACACATGTACTTACACCACCTTACATTATGTCACATTACATACCTTACATATGCATATCGACATACACAGATGCACACAACATACATACATACATGCATACATACGTACATACATACATGCATGCATATACATACGTACATGCATACCTACATACGTACGTACATACATACATATATACACACACGCATGATCTTGCGTGGTTGGTTGCTTGATTGATTCATTCATTAACTGGCTGGTTTATTCGTTCCTCTGAAATTAGTTGTTCATGTATTCCCAGAAAGTGCCCCCGAGGGCTGCCGAGTAACAGACATGGGAAAGCTTCAACATGCCTTCAAAGAGGCTGGCCCAGCCCCCACATGAGGCGCATGCATTTCTGTTTCACATCCGCCAGCATGCACTGCTCCTAGACGGTGCTACACATCAACATGTTCGTGCTCAGCCGGCCTTTTTCTTTGTAGCACAAGTGGTGCTTGCAGGCATGGAAATCCCGGTACAAACCGATGTACAAACATCATTACGCAAGAGGCATTTATACAAGAATCACCTCCTGCTGGCTGAATTGAATGTCGCACAGGGCTCAGTTGATATAGCTGTGATTGGAAAAGCTGCGTCGATGTGACCATCTGATTCTTCAAGCTTTTCTGCACGAGCAGACTTCGCCAGACGTCCTCACGTAGCTCGTGAAGCTTCAGTGGCCCCGACCTTGAAACTCGAAAGGGCCGCTTCAATGCACATTGCAGATCATTGAATACTAGTTCTACTATTCTTATTATTGCTACTTTTTTTTAATTATTCTTCTTACATTATTACTATGACTATTCTTCAACTTGCAAGTGGGAGCCAACATTCTTCACCTTGCAGGACCAGCGCCGTCACGGCCTCCTCCGAGCAGGCGGCCCGGCGAGCTGTTGGCACCACACTGGAGGCTAGGCCGGTGTTTTTTGGTTTAGGACTGCGCATTCTTCCCAGAGAGCCCAATACCCCTTAATTAAGGAATATAGCTTAAATGATAATATTGAACCCCTTATAGTTTAAGGTATACTCCTGAAGTAAGGGGTATTGGGCTCTCTGGGTTTGCTCCCTAAGATGATCATGAGGAGGGCGTGGATTATGCTGATGGTTGTGATTGTTGTCAGCATGGTGCGAGATAGTTGGGATAAGTATGACAGACGATTAGTAAAAAACAAGAAACTGTCATAACCTGGTAGGCTGCTGCGGCTATTGTGTCCGGGCCGGAGGCTTTGCCAGGGTTTCGAGCTTAAAAGGACCAGCAATGCCCCGACGTGCATCAGCAGCAGCACCCCCGCTGTCGCCGTGAGCCACCGGCCGCCACCAGTGCTTGCAGCAGCACCGGCACCACTACCCCCACCACTTGTACTGGGTGTCAGTTGGGGCTGGCTTTCATGGAACGGGGGGTGTGGACAGACTCCCTTCTTCACTTCGGACGAGTTTCCTTGCGATGAAACTTGGTCGGCTGGGCGGGTGGGCAAAGTTTTCAGCACCGGAACAGCACGACCACACCAGCAATGCAATATTTTGGAAGGACAGCAGCAGCAGCAGCAACTTCGACAACAAAGCAGTCACCAGAGCCAGCGCACAAGAAAAACTGGACGACGGCAATGGGAAAATCAATACTATCCCGGGCTACCGCCAACACAAGTGAGTAGTCGCATCTAGGAAGTAGCACGCAGCAGTTTTCAGCTGAGCAGTCGCGGCTTCCTGGTACAGGAGGAGTTGTCTCGGACCCTTTTCGCCAAAACCAGGTCGAAGCCGTTTTCCGTTTGAGAACTGACGTAAACCAGTTCGCGAGCTTTGTCTTGCAGCTATCAGCTTGCGTCCAGGCCGTCAGCTGGGTCATGCAGGCCAAGGTGCAGGCATTGGTGCCACTAGAAGCTGCATCGAAGTCTACCTTGATCTCCTTGGCTAGTTGTCAAACCTCCAAGGATGTAGCGGCACACCCTAAGACCCTTTGCATGGTTGTTCCGAGATGTTCCCGACTGCTGTGCAGCCACGCCGTGCGGTGGTGATAAGCCGACCGCCTGGACACCACAATGGCTGCAATGAGCTGCTGGAGGCCCGCCGGCTAGTGTTGAAAATAACAACAGAAAGTGCTGCCTAATAACAATGTCTCTAACATGCAGCCGGCTTCGCAACACGGCTATAAGCTCCGACTCGAAAGGCCATTCAGAAAAACGCTTGGCGCTTTGCGGCGCATGGTGGGTGCATCTTGAATGAGCCCCTTGCCTTGGTTAGAGGTTCCAGCAGATCTGCACGTACGCAGCCCTAAGGCAGATGATCATATGCGCGCGCGTGTGTGTGTGTGTGTGTGTGTGTGGGGGTGTAGTGTATGCATCTCGATCTATGGTTCCGTTGGCCTATCGTTGGCCTATGCTGATGTGTGTATATATGTATATAGAGAGAGAGATAGTCTCTGCATATATTTATACCATATATATACACACATGTGAATGATACTTAAGTACTCAATGGACTCAAGGACAGGGTAGGGTAGGGGAGGACAACGAGGCCTGCTGCAAAAAGGGTAGGGGAGGATCGGAGGGTAGAGTACAGCAGACTGGAGTAGTCGGGTTATCCTACCCTACCCTACCCGACCCCACGATAACACAACGTGTGGTCGTGAAGAGGGACGGAGGGAAGGAGGGAGGAGAGGAAAAGGAGCAAGGCAGAAGAGATTCGAGTGTAACTTGATGCACCCTGTAGCAGTCAGGCATCTTGTGAAAAGATGGCCAGATGTTTCGCTGTTCCTATTCCAGGCGGCACTTTGGGAAACTTTCAAGTTTCTTCTGTAGGTCCTGCTATAGAGGTACCTTCTCATGGTACGGTCAAGGGTCCCAAAACTACAACCCAGCATTGCTTGCCTAAGGACTGCCGTCGCAGTGCGCAACTTGCTGGCAAGGCATCCTCAAAGCAAGGCCAGCGCTGCACTCCTTTTCTTGATGCGCTTGTAGTTCGACACTGACTGTGCTACACAACCAGAAGCCTTGTGCTACTTGTCCGGATCCCGATCGTGTCTTTCCTCAAGCCGTTCTCAGCATTTCTCAGCTCAGTTATATTGACCACGTGTATGTACGTAGCTTGAAGATTCGCACGGCACGGTGACTGAATACGCATGTGCTGCGTCTGCTGGTGCAGGTTGTCGTGCTTGACTTGGACGCACACTTCGGCGTGCCACCCTCAGCTGCGACGATCCCAATCTACCAGCACGTGTTTCGGGGTTCAAGGGGGGTAGTGGAGCTTCGCGGCGACTGCTGTTCCGCTAGTTTTCGGAAACTCCCATGTATAGCAGGCTGCGAAAACGGGCAGCAGATGCTTGATCCACTATCCAGGATGGCACAGCCTGGCAGTTTTACGAGGTGGGAGCTTTCTGCGTGAGGCCGCCTTGAGCAAATCTGAGATAAGCTGAGTAAGGGAGACAGACAGGGGAGAAGTTGCGAATCGTGGAGGCAGCTGTGCCTTCGTGGACATGTGACATGAATGTTCAAGCTTCAAGCTGCTCTGGGACGGGGTCACCCCATGAGCGGCGAGGTTGTACACTGGGTAGCGGGCCGCCTTCAACACATGTAAACTCACTGAGTGATTTGCAGCAAGACGTTGCAAGAACATGCGGAAGCCCGCCGCACATCTCCATGATCCTTCATGGATTGGAGTGGTCTGTAGGTCGAGGGTTCAAGCAGAAATTCATTCGAAACCACGCAGCGTTATGCGCCATGGCGGCTGTCAATGCAGTCTCCTTTCAAAGACACGCTCTCCATCTTCCAGGCGGACATAGTGTGAGATACCCTGTGCAACATGCTACATGGTCGTTCGGGTGGCTTTGCGACAGAAGTTCAGCTCCCAGGGCCTTCGGGCGAATCTTCTGTAATCTAGGAACCGGATTAAGAAATCCTGGCCGTATAACCCCAAAGTAGTAGGATTCATATCAGGAACCCTAATATAAAGGCTCACGGTTTCTGAATCAGGTTCCTACATTACTATAGTACCCTTATCGATCCCTTATAGTAACCCTTTAAAGGTTCCTACGTTACCCCGGAGCCTTCTCATACGAGGTCGCAGCACAGCTGTTGCGCCCTTCCCGCTGTCGCTGGAGAGGACTCTTGCCTCACCCGGTGTCTCCTAGTAATATGGATAGTTGCCAAAATACCCTTTTTGGGTCCTTATTATAATACGTCACCTAATATTTAGGGCGCCCAAAAAGGGACCATAATTTTGTCAACCACCCATATAGGGGGGCAACAGCCGCAGTAACCATCACTGAACCCCTTATAGCGTTTTGATCCTAGATACTGATACCATCATAGTATGTTATAACCCAAACCCCTGTTCTGATGATTCGCGCACTAACAAGCAATATTCGGTATCAGGAGATGGCCTCTTGTCAGCTGATTGTTATTGTCTGTCCAGGACGTTGCACAGGCAGGCAAAACACTGCCAAATTATTCTACCGGAGATAGCTGGGCAAGCATCATTAATCCAGACAGTTTCAACATGCTGTGTCAGACTAGGTTGGACCAGCAAGCGCAGAATCTTTGGCATTTCAGAGAGAGAGAGAGAGAGAGAGAGGAAGATAGCTTGATGTTTTTGTGTAATTATGGCAGCTAGTGATTTTCATACTTCGTTCTCGTTTCATGGGGCTGTATGCCTAGCCTCTTTCACGTCCGGCTTCACCCTGAGAACGAAAGAAAGCGAGCAAGAGCTCGGTTCCTCGATGGCCATGCAGGCATGTCGTCCACCCCGAAACTCCAGCGATTGAAACGAACTCGTTCAGGTATTCCGAAGCTCTGGTCCCCATTTTCCGCACACATGTGAGGCCGAGCGTGCCTTCAGCCAGCTTGGCGCAACTCCGCAGTGGCCTTCTAGCTGGCTGTGCAGGCCAGGTTCGGTCCAAGAACGAAACAATCCCAGTAAAAGAACTCTCACCTTACAGTAGTTAGCTTGCCAAGGTTTAGGTTTGGGGGTTGGAGCTAGCCTGATCTTCCCGACATCGCGCCTACCACCAATCCAAATAACTTTACTCGTAGAAGACACCCTCAACTTCAGTTCCCTTATCGGCATTCCCACAGTTGTTACAATGCCTGGTCCAGGCTGCGTCTCACTCTTGCACCGAGCGAAGGCACGGATACATGTGCCGCGTGGCCGCAGTCTTGCCGCTGTAGTCGGCAGGAGGTTAAACCCTAAACCCCTGAACCTTGACCTCGCGTCCCAGTTGTGAGTGCTCAACTCTGCCCGAAACCTCAGACACATTGCCCGATCTGCCACTTGAGGCTTCGCCGGCAGCAGGCGCCGGCGTTGACTCTGACCCGGGATGTTCAGCGACCCGCCTGCAGAAAGCTTGTCTATTCTTTGATTAGGGGTTCATTGCGCAATAAGATCCGGCGAGTTTGGGGTCTGCATTAGAGAGCTCACGAGAGTCCCAGACAGTCTAAAAGTCACATGCTTGTTGATTCACCCTAGCAGGCCTTGCATGAAATGCCGCCTAACGTCGTGTGGCAAACAAAGACAAGCTGCACACAACAACCTCGCAGCCCCGCCGACACTGGGTGGCTTAGGCCGGCAGTTGCTACCGAGCCAAAAGGGAAGCCAGCTGTCGGCCGAGCTCGTGTCTTCGAGATGAGTCCGCAGGCCAGCGGAGCGAGATCAATCAGACATACCCCTGAACTCTAACCCTACCGTAATCGCTACAAGTTTCAGCTCAGGATGTATAGTCATTCAACAGACGCAAACATCGGCTGTTTTCCTCTCGCCATGACCGCGGCTTGGAGCAGACGTAGATCCTTCGCCCATCGAGAGGCAGACAGAATGACGTGTATGTATGTGTATACATACGTGCGTACATATGTACGATTAAACATATTTATATATAATATGTCTATATATATATAAATATGTATATACATGTATGCACACACACACACACTCTCTCTCTCTCTCTCTCTCTCGCTCGTTCTGTGTGTATAAATATAGGTATAAGGAAAATAATGTATGTATATACGCTCGCCCCCCCCCGCCCCAAGATCCACGCATTCGTGGTGCATGGGGCGGTATGGGGTATGGTGCGCACGAAAGGCTGCAATGCTCAAAAGATTCCAAGATTCCAATCTGAACACTCACGACATGCTGTAATATGCTGCAATGCTCATAAACCCTAAACCTCTATGGCCAGGCCGGTGCCGGATTCATTACAAAATGTTGATTTTTTTTGAGCATAACAGTGTTTCGTGAGCTTTGGGGTTGGAAGTTTTAGATGTTTTTGGAGCTCTGCCTCGTTTTGTGAGGTTCAAGACGCGAAACACTGTAATGCTCCAAAATTCAATAAAATCTATGGCCAGGTCGGTGCGTTGTTTGAGCATTGCAGTGTTTCGTGAGTTTGGAGGTTGGGCATTGTAAATTTTGGTTTCTGTGAGCCTTGCAGAGTTTTGTGAGGTTCAGAACGCGAAACCCTGCAATGCTCAAGAATTGTAAAGTTTTGGGCATCTTCACCACCCCCGAGCCATAAGTGCCGCGACTTCGGAATTTGCTGGGCATTACAGTGTTTCGTGAGTTTCAACTTTGATTTTTTGAGTTTTTGAGCATTACAGTGTGTCGTGATGTTCATGACAGGAAACAATGAACGCGAGCTCTCATCAGCTTTCCAAGACGAAAAGTGCTGTCTTATGCGTCTTCTGGAACGGCCGGAGTTTTGAGTACTCTTGCATGATAAGTGTCAGCCAGTCTTAGTCTCGTTTGATTTCATACTGAAGACTGTGGGAACCTGTCGACATGTTGCTATCATTAAAGGACTATGCTCCTTCCTATGAAACCGGAGCTTTTATTCAATGAGCTCTTATAGATGCTGTACCCTGGAAAAGAATACCGATCGCCATGTCCAGTTTCTCAAACAGCCGTCAGTCATAGAACTTAGCACGGAACACAGTCAATCTTCAAGCGACACTCCTCATATATGTGCTAATGTTTGACTGTTTTTGACCGGAACAGCACGAGTTTGCATTATTCTTGCTTGATACGTATGAGGATGGCCCGAATTAGGCTTCTTTTGCTTAGTCTTGTATCCTCAGAAACAGATAGCTATCGCAATGCACAGGGCTGTTTTTAGATCGGTGTCCTAGATGGTGTCACAAGGCCAAAAGTAGCTTTCTTGTTAAAGTGCAATCTTACCTTGTTGTAAAAGGATAGCGAGCCTTCTCATTGATACGTAAAAAAGACAGCCAGCCGTATTTAGTCCTGCTTCATTTTTGGAAGGTTGAAGGATCGTTCTTACTTCTTGCCGCCGGGGAGCCTCCTTATGTGCCCTCATATGCAAATGTGCAAATGAAGGATTCACTTACAGAGGAATTGTTCCATTTCTTATGAAGCAAAGAACAGCCATCGGAGTTGGGATTGAAAAATACAAGCCCTCGTGTATTCGGCTTCCTTGATTTATAATCTGTCTGCTCACTCGTAAACCAAACGTACCCGAAAAGATATCGGGTGGGCTTGGAGCTCGGGAGACTCGACTCTGCCCCGCCAAAAAGAGGGGGAGATGTTTTTTTTTTTGTGTCTGACGATCGGTTAATGTCGCAAGGAGCTTTGCAGGGTTCGACATGAAAAGTGTCTTATTACCTCGGCCCCTGTGAGGCGCCAGAACTACATGAAAAGCAGGAGGAGACTGTTGACAGCATCCTGGATCTTTTTCAGCGAGGCCATCAGAAAGTATGCTTGCGTGGAGTTCCTGGATCTGGAAAGACTTTGGTGGCGGCGAAGGCATCTCATCTGAGCAAGGCGGCGTTTTCGTAAAGTTGTGTCTTTCTAAATCTTCGTCACGTTCTTGCTGTGATCAAGGCCCGAGTGCGTTCGCAACGGCTGACCACGCTTTCTTCCTTTTGTCACCTGAGGTCATCTCAGAAGCATGTCAGCTTTTGGGCTGCAAGGCAGCCCTCTTCATCTCCCCGCTGAAGGCGTTCGTGCATATTCGACACGGTATGACCAACAGTCGGTTGTTGGCTGCACAGCTTCTTAACTTTCTCCAATGGTCCCTGTCTCTTGAGGTCCTGTAGGAACCTTGTGTGATTCAGTAGACAGCGAACGGTTCTCGTTGGTTGCTGATTCAAGAGCACGGGCTTGTTGAACCTGCTCCTGAATGCTTGGCTTTGGCAGGAGCTGACACACCAGATGCATGGCTGCATTGAGCTATAGTATACTGTGGCCCATGAGGGTGCAGCATAGTCTATTAGAAGTTTGTAACCGAAAATCGCTTACACGAATTATTGTAGGTTATATTGTATCATTGTAGCAGGGCAGGTCATGGTCTACGATGTTTCAAGGATGCCCAACAGGTACGGGCCACTGTATGGGGACAGTTCCGCGCCGCTACGACTGTCAAAGACTGCTCAGGACAGGCCGCAACATGCGAGCTTTCTTTGAAGAGCCGGTGAAGGTGGAGGTTTTCGTCTCCAAGCTGCGTTGCTTGGCAGCCATGGTGATTGCAGTTGCACTGCATGTGTCTTCGAACGAGTGGTAAAGGCTGAAATGTGGCTTCGTACTGTCAGGATGCTACAAATTCGGCTTGAGACTCGCAGAACAACTTTTAATAATGGTGGTGCCAAGCACATATAATGTGTTCAGCCCGCCGGAAGCATGTAGTGCTCCTGCACGAGTAATTCTACTGCTTTGTGTTCAGATGGTACCATGTCGGCATGCCTTTTCAATCTTAGGCCGGATTTTGTTCTCCTTCCCACGGGCTCTTATGCAGTACTTTGCCTCACAGAATCGTCTGATGTTGCGCCTGAGAGTAGGTCATCCATCATCCTATATGACCGAAGCACTTCCTGTTGTGAGGACAATTCAAACGCCCGACGCTGCGAACCGTGAAGCAGGCTTGGTCGGTTGTCTGAGACAGTGGTTTGCCAAGCATCTCGCTATCCGCAGGAGAGGGTTCCTCATCCGAGTGACTGCAAGCATGGCATCTCGCGTTGTGCTTCTGCATGGTCAGCAGATTCGGGAAAGGACTTCCAGTTCGCGCAAGGCACCTGTGAAACAGCTTATCGGCTTGAGGACCTAGATTCCTAGATTTTCTTGCTCAGTGCTGGCATCTTCGTTTTCTAGTTCTATTGTCAGGATATTGCGTGCGCAGACAGGCAGACAGACAGACAGACATGTGGTCCGTCCTCGTGAGTTGGGCGACCTGTCAGCGGCGGCGCCCTGCACAGTTTCCAGACTTACAGCCTGCAAACCCACTGCCAGAGTTAACCGCTCCACAGCCGCTACCGGAGTCTTTATGGCAGGATCTGGCCGAGTGGTTGGATTGGGAAAGCATGCGGGAACTTGATCAGGCAAACGCTGCTACCAGTCGATTGGTGCGGAGTGAAGCCTTCCTCGCGCTGATCGCCAGTCGTCGGGGCTTGTTGGAGGAAGCGTGCCTCGTGCGCCGAAGATTACAAAGCTTGGCGGTGGCACAGAGGCTGCGCGGCGTGATGCCGATCGTGTATTTCGAAAGAGCCAGCACATCTCTGCGGGAGGATTCCTACACGAATGCTTGCCGTTTGGCGGATGTGTTTAGGCGTCACACCCACTTGGTCCTATTCGTCTCTGGGCACTGTGGACGCAATGCGCCGGAGAGCATCAAGTCCAGCTTCACCCAGGAACGAGCCACAGAGGCTTGTGAGGTGATCGCAGCTCTGCTTCCTCCAGGTTTGAGAATGCCTGAGATGTTTGTATTTGGGTGCGGCAGCAGTGTTGCTGCAAGAGACATTGCTGTCGGCGGGGACACGGATTGGTCGAAAGCAGATCTGCGTGTAGAGCTGCGAGCGGAAGATGGTAGAGTCCTTTTGGATTGGGGTCGCAAGTGGTGGGAGCCGTTCCAGGGAGCTTCTGGACTCCCCTTGCCAGAGTGGCAGCCTTTTCCAAGACGCTCCTAGCTATGCCTCTTGCACGAGTATTCGCTTGCACGCAACCTCAAAGCATCGTGAACTACCTCAGGAGCTGCAAAGAGCAAGGAAAGCCAACTCGCCCCGGAGGCTCCAGCAATAAAGGAAGAGCAGAAGGCCGAGGACGCGAGGCCTTCGGTGTGATGCTTAAGTTCAAGATGCTTTGCATCCGCCGAGCTGGAGCACAGGAAGCGAGCGTCAGCAGCGTCAGCGGTTGTGTTGGGTCTCGACGAAGTCGGCAACTTTGCGCAGCGCAGTCATGGTGCTATCGGCTGAGGGAAGACACGTCCAGTTTCGACAAGATGTGAGCTGCTGGCTTTGCGCCTTTGCGAGAAGAGAAGTCCGCGTGATCAACATGCATCTTGAGCTGAGCTGGAAGCCCAGAGTAGGCCCAAGCTTCTAAGCAGTTCGGCTTTTACTGAGCGATCGTTCGGGTCAGTGGCTGCCGGCTCAGCCTGCCGGACTCTACCCGGACTTCGGGCACCCAGCGCATGAGAGGCACTGAAGCTGAGCAGCGAAGTGAGCCTTCAGAACTTCAGGGGACGTTCCCAGTTCGTCGCCGTTGACGATTTCGACGAATGAGTTTTTTTGCGAGAAATGCCACGCAGCCTTCCTCCGTGGAAGCCCAAGCCAGCATGGATGCCACCGACGGATCTCTGAGAGCGTCCCCAGATCCTGGCGCCGTGGCTCCAGAGCATGCGTTGGTCTATCACTGAATGGTGACATGCTGGACATGGAACCAGCAGGACCTGACTGCAATCAATTCCGGGCGCTGGTGCTTTTAGCGCACAGCACTGTCGTTTTCTACAACACTCGGTCATTATCATGTCCAACATGTGAAGGCACTAGACTTGGTGGCCGTGTATGTCGCCCAGTCTGCAGAGATGGACTGAGCTGGCTGCAACATCCATGTTCGGCAACACTATGGTTGCCGTGGTCTCGCCTCGGAAGACAGCCACTCGGACATCCACCCCAGGCCCCAACGATGCCGTGAGAAGAAGGTGTAGTTTTGATAGCTGAGATTTCTGCACGAGCGTCTCTGAGGAAAGGGCCCCGTCTGATCGCAATGAAGCGAGTGTCTTTGCCTGCGACGGCTGATGGACGTCGAGTTACTGTGCGTGAGGTCGAGTTACTTTGCGAACATGAACCGATAGCTCATGATGCGGCTTGATACACTTCCTAGTCATCGGTTGCAGAACTGCCCATAGATGAGAATTCAGTTTGCTAGTCCCCTGATCGGAACGTACATCAACGTACTAACGTACATAACTTGTGTGCCCCGTTGCGGACCACGCAGGAATGAGAGTAAGAGAATTAACAGTCTTAGAATAGACGACATGCAGCGCTCAGAATTGAGAGCAATGGCCATGAAGATACTACTGGGAGTGCTAAATCACCCGGTATCCATCAACGGATCAGGTCGCAGTATGAATCTCAAGGGTGGCTGTATATGTCATGTATTTCAGAACATGTATATATATATATATATATATATATATATACATACATATGGATGTGTATATATATATATGTCTATATATATATACACATTAATTATGTATATATTATGTGTATATATTATATATATATATGTATGTATATCGTCCTGAACATAAGCACGTGCTTGAAACGAAGTCTGCAGGCCGGCAATGGAGAGGTGATCCTTAAGGCCGCGAGCTCTCGTTTCTTGCAGCTAATACGAGTATTGTTCGGTGAAGGCACGAAGGGTTTCAACAAGTCACGAACATTGTTATTTCTTAATTTTGCAGTAGTTCTGTTGTGACTGTTATTCCTGTTTTATTGCCATTAGCCTTCTTCTTATCATTAGTTTTATACTTGTCAGAGCTCTGCAGAGCTTGATTGTGCAGGCCACCAGGTGAAAAATGGTTTGGGTACTTATCAGTCCCTTTAGCAATAATTAAGGTGGGGAGGGACCGCCGGACACCTTAGCACGATTGGTTCAAAGTCCGCTAATTAGGAGAGGGCTGCGTTCGTGGATATGATCTGGGGGGGAGAAGGGGCCCCCTCCTCCTCGCCTTTATTTAGGTCTCTCCTACCTTAAGGTCCTTTGCCTGCATCTTTCACGTGCTTCTTTTGCGTTGCCATACATGTTCGCTCGACCCGACAAGATCGACCTGAGTCCTCAAGTGTTTCAAGGGCTATCAGTAGCATGGCGATCTCGCTGCATAATCGCAACTCCGGCGGCTTGCGGAGAGGGTCTAAGGTGATCAGGGGCCCAGGGGATTGGGTCTTCGGGTTGGCGGAGGGGCCACAACCTTACCATTACCTTCCTGTTCCGCGATCTGGGGCTGTTTGGGCGGATTCAGGCTATTTGGAACCCTTGCCACAACTTGTTATATCACACACTATTTACGTATTCGTTTGTAGTAAACTGTATAATACAGTGTATAGTCAACAAATTATTAACCCTAAACCCAAGTTTCACGTCGGAGAGAGGTGGCACGCGGTGGCTCTGTCATGGACGAGGTGGGGAGCTTGGATTGTCTCTCATTATCGTGCTAGGGTTTCGGAGTTTCGGATGTAACGTATGGAGGGGTCAAGCACCCAGCTTGACTCCTCCGAAAGGCGGCTTGGGTATCGGTGCTGCATGTCGGCCTCTGTCAAGATGATTGTGGGCCGTAGACTGGCTAGACTTGAGTCCAGCAGCAAAAAAGCGTATGGAGGGGTACGCCTATTGTAAGTTGAGGATCTTGGCGGAAACTGACAGCTCAGACAGGAGTAATCGCAGGACTTCTGAACATCCAAGTTATATAGGGTTTGGTATTTTCTTAATCTAGGATCCAAAACACGATTAATAATTAACACTTGCTCCTGGGGGTTCCTTATTACAGCTATAGTATAATATACCCCGAAACCCTACCCTAACTTTTGAGGCCCCAAAATAATCTGTGACAGGCTCCCGGCTTGAGAATCACTTTGGCAGGATGCAGATGAAGCCAGGAGAAGGACCCTTGAGACCTTGAAGGCGGATAGCAGCTTGCTCGAAGAATAATATAGGGGCCTTAATAATTAGAATAGGGTTTCCGGGGTATGTAATACTAATAAACCCCCAAAGTAGTATTGGTGATTTTTTTAGGCCCCTGCACTATGTCCAGCTAAAGGCAATTACCAGGTCGGTAGCATGTGCATTCTCCTGGTGTTGACTCATGTGATGACCATAGCTTGATCCAGACCTTTAGCAGCGGAATCAAGACCTAGCTGCCTGCCCACCGCGGTAGTGCAAGCGCTGCAGCATCTGATCCGTTCCAGTGCAGTGTTCGTTTTTGCAAGCACCTACTGGCCAGTCAGAGTGCTCCTGCATTGCTCTCACTTGTGTAAGCCCACGCGCTGGGTGCGACGATTCAGTGTAATGAACCATGAGCGACGGTGCCTTGTGAACTGTTTGGGAAGGTTTAGCGAGAGTAGAATAGAGTGCAGACATGCAGCAAACCCGTATCAGATCTCTTACTACCCGTGGCGCCCGATTGTTGCTTTCGAAAGGTCAGGGTCAGGTTGAGTTTGATCGAGACGGACAGGTTTGACGTTGCAATCTGCTGGGCACCACTTTGTCTGCTTCGCGAACCATGCCAAACCTTCGTGCTTGCCAACCGGAATCGGTATGCCATGCTCGTTGTGGCTCCAATCTGCTGCCTTCTGCAGTTTTGCAACATACAGTAGGTAGTAAGTGAAAACAGAGCTTGCTGTCACTGTTTCTACACCACCACTTCTCACCAGCTGAATGCATTGCCACTGGACTTGACCAACATGGCCCACAATCTGTCGAACTCCACACTTAAAGAACCCGAGAGATCCAGATGCAACCCTTGCATCCTGGGAGGTTGGCATTTGTCGGTTGCATATGGGAGTGTCCGAAAAGAGGGGACCCCAAAATAGTACCCCAAATAATGGGATCCTGATGTAGCCGCATCAGCATGCATTGGTTTTGCAGCTTTGTTGTTGCAAGCTCACGACCTTGCAAGTTTCCAGCGCACTGCGCAAAGACTTGTTTGGCTCATGGTTGTCGGGTTGTGGACAGCACTGCCGAGGTCCTTCACCATGCAACTCTGATGCATCGTTTTGACAGCGTTCTTTCATTCATCAGTCAGTTGTAGACTTCCTACGTGCGGATGCCAACTAATTACCCAGAACAAGAGCTCGGAAAGAGTAGCGTCAGCGGTGGAAATCTAGAAGTAGTTTGCTGGCTGTTCCCTCGGTTCCGGGTATGGTCGATGGGTTCGGATAGGCCGCAAATCTGTCAGAGGTGCATAGCAGCATGTTAATCCGAACATGTCCGGACATGGTCTGCCAATTAAGGCGTGATCTCCGCGTCGACTTCAGCGATCTACCCTGGCACCGGTCCCCCGGCTTGATGAGGAGGTACAGCCGTAGAGTGGCAGGGCTGGTTTGCCCGCAGCTGCCTGTCCTCAGAAGAAGCCTAGCAAGCGCTTGTTCAGGTTCGCATATCGTACTGAGTCTGACAAGAGAGGCACAAACCATGCCAGAGGCATTGTCGGTTGGCTGATCGGCTGAATATGCCTAGTCAGCGAGACGAACATGCTTATGACATTTGTTGACTGCCTGTGGAATGCAATGTGCCCAGGTCTTGCAAATATTTGCCTGACAGAGTCTTGGCCATCAGAAGCTACTGCCATGCTACTAAGTAGAGGCAGGCAAAAGCGTTCTGGTCGCAAGGATGATGCACTTACTCCGGTCATGTCTTTGTCATGAACTGTTACAGGGTGGTTGTGATCTGAACTGTTCGCCACAGTGGCCGACACATCTTCCAGCTATAGTCAGCGCTTTCAGCAACAATTGCTCGAGCAACAGCAGCGACGTAGGAGTGATTTCCGCATGTTCTGAAATGGGCGGAGGAAGAAGGAAGCTTGGCAAAGCGTGTGGCTGTTGCACTTGTCGCTTGGCTGAACGGGCTGCTGCTGCTTCTGCGACGATCACTATTGCTACTACTCCTACTACTCCTCCTCCTTCTACTCCTGCTCTGACTCCTCCTCCTCCTCCTCCTCCTCCTCCTCCTGCTCCTGCTCCTACTCCTCCTACCCCCTCCTGCTCCTGCTCCTACTCCTCCTACCCCGATTCGTGCTCCTGCTGCTGATGTTTCGTTTCTGGGCTTCATCCGTGGTGATGCGAGCGACGGAGTGGCCTGTGATTTGTTTCCAGACTGCGATGTAAGAAGCCCGCAGCCAGGCAAATGAGCTTGAACAAGAGCTTGAGAAGCGACGCCGAGACCCAGAGCCTTTAGGCGCGTCGTCCGGTCTTCAAGCAGCCAGAACTTCGTCGCTTTGTCACCATTTCTCTTTCTCTCCTGTGTCCATCTGCTTTGCCTGGCATGAGCCAGGAACCGACTTCGAGATTCGCCAGAATCGCGCAGCGCGTGATTCCCGGATGGAGGCGTTTTGGGGGTCAGAGTGCAGTTGGAGATGCCATATCTTCTGCCCTCATGTAAGAAGCTGCTGCGATGTGCCTCCTTGCAATGCGAGTCTGCCTTTGCTTCCTTCCCCAGACATGCGAGCTCGGAGAACTTGCTTTTGCCCGTATGTGCTAACCGATGCAGATGCATTGTGCCAATCGCTCAGAGACCATCGTGGGAAATACGGTGTCGTCTGCCTCGCGAGATGCCGTCTTTCCGGGCATCTGCCCGTTGCTAGGCTAAGCAAGCGCAGGGATTGAGAGAGGGTCCGCCGGGCGGTGTCCCAGCGGAGCTGGCCTCCCAATACTAATGATTGCTAATGTACTCTATGACTATGTTATTATATACTATAACTTTTTGCGAACCTCCCTTAGAGGCTTATAGTCTCTGACCGCATCATGCTGTGGACCAGGCTTTCTTGAAGTCTGATTGTAATAATTAGGGAGACGTTTACCGGTGGTGCACGGGGGGATGTGGTAGACCATGTGTGCTATTGCGACATAAGTATAAATGCTGGCACTTGAATGCCTGCGGTTCTTGAGAAGATAAGTGGAAAGAAAGTCCAGCAGCTGTGACATCCATGCAAGTAGCAATCAGGCAGGAGCCCTCAGAGTTTGACAGCACATGTTCAACCGCTGGCAGGAGGACATCGAGAAGCTCAGAAAATTCTTCTACTGTCCAGACATGTTCGAGACTTCTCTGCAATGGCAGATTTCGCCCCCAGCTCCATCATACGCATTCCTACGGACTTCGGCACCGAGACGCATGAGAGCAGTCACAGCAGGCTTGATTGCCTGCAGCATCTCATACAGCAGTTCATAGACCCTGATGAGTCACACCCGTGCGGTTACTGACTGTGCATCAGCTGCATTGCAGCGAACTGTTAGCAAGAAATGGTTCCTAGTTTTGTGTTTTGCGTCTCTGGCGTTGCTGGGATCTGTCGGAAAGGTGTATGAAGCATAATCGAATTGGGACGGATGTGAAGGTCAGACGAACGGACCAAGCCGGGATGGCTGCATCGTCTTGCACACGATGCATTGGCATCGTGTGAAGCTTTCGTTGAAAGTTCTGCATCTGGCACAGATTCAACGATGGCATAGCAGAATCTAGCATGTGCGTGTCGATTCTACAGAGGGGGTCGTGGGTGAAGCAGTCACGGCTTCGTGCCCTCTGACTTTGCGTACCGCTCTGTGGTCTCGGTTTCCGTATGCTTGTGTAGATTCAGGCGGCTACAGTACTGTTACAGTATTTGCCTTTTCATGTCAAATGGGAGTTTCCCAAAATGGGGGACCCTAATATAATACCCGAAAAAGGATCCCAAAATAAGGTACCCATAATTTTCGGAAACTCCCAAATGGCCATGTGGGAGAAGCTGCTGCGCAACCCAGGACTTGTATGGAGACCTCCTAGATCCGACCACGCTGATAGATGTGATGAATGCAGCTCGGAGCAACTAGTACTATTCTATTACAATTATGGTATAGTACAGTACTATTCTATTGCAACTATGGTATAGTACAGTGTAGTGGGGCAACTGGCATAGCAGTTAGTTACATTAGTTGGTTAGTTAGTTTGGTAGTTGAGGCTTAGCCAGTGGAAGCCAGCTTTGCTTCTGCGGGTGGTATATCAACCACTTACACCGATGCTGTGCAGTTCAGCACAACCATCACCAGAGCTGCCTTAACCTTGTGGCCACGTGCTGCCTGTGTCTGCCAAAGCTGCAAGTTGCCCTTTGAGAAATGGCTTGCCGCGGCTCAGGAAAAATTCCGCCATGACTGGATTCTGGTGGTGGATGAATGCCATTCAACCTGGCCCATGCTTCAGATCGCCTCCGCAGGATACCGTACACAAGCTCAGACCTCAGCATATCGCGTTTGACAGGACTGCCCGAGTATAGCGTGGTGATGCTTTGCAGTCCTTCTTTGTTAGCCGTGAACTGCCAAGATGCAGTCGCACATCGAGAACGGCAGAGCACGCAGCAGGCTGCTCCCCGTGGATGCAGAGGAATTGGAGCATCGTGCCTGAAGGGGACTGCTTTGGTGGCCTGTGTTCCCAAACCCTGAACACCTAGATCCCAACTTTGGAAACATTTTATAAGTTTTTCTACTATACTTACTACGTACCATACTGGTCTAAACAGCACTATGCTGTACTGTACTATACTAGGCTATAATAATAGAGTATACGTTTAGGAGCTGCTCCGGGTTAGCCATTCTGTGTGGGGCCTCGCCTGCAGTGTTCGAGTCATGAAACCCGGAAGATGGTTGTCAAAATTAGGGTCCCTGATTGGGTACCCTATAAATTCCTATAAATATTAGCTGCCGTATAGGACCAGAAAAGGGTCCCTAATTTTGAAAACTACCCTCTTGAACGTTCCAATCTCCAGTCTTCCCACAGACCGTATCGCCGAGTGTGAGCGTCAAAAGAACAGCCTAAACATGTCCGATTGCGAGTGTCTTAAACCGTAAATCCCAGGATTAGATTCAGGGGAGCACCGAAGTCATCGAAGTGGTTTACTTGTAGTCCGGCATTCCACGGGACCTCAGGCATTCGCATCGCGGGTGTGGGCCACTGACACTGCCCCAGCTTGAACGGCGCCTCCCGAATTGGGTGCTCTGACTGCCGCCTTAAGATCGCAGGAGATTTGATGGGGGTTTGCTGTCTTCATGCGTGAACTTGTCGGCTGATCCTGGCCAAGCTTTTGGTAACAAAATCAAGAATGCAAGCGTGACATTTGTCCGATTCGTCGGACAGTTTGCTGTTTGGTTTCAGGAGGGCTCAGGCATAATCTTAGCTTGTCGAGCATGTAGGCATGCTCGACATGTGTGATCCGACATTGTTGTTGGACATCCCGGGTCCAATCTTTGTATACATGCCTTGAAGCATTCATTACGAAATTGCGGATTATGAATGCGAGTTTTATCAAAACGTGGCTGCCCATGCCTGCGAGTGCGAAAAGCTTCATATGCTCGAGAGCAACCCACCCTGGTGTGCGGCCGTGGCATGCGCGGAGATCTTGTGACTCGTGTCGATTTTGTGCCTCGACCTCGCCGTCACAGGCATGAGGTGGCGAGGGGTTAACGTTCGTAAATCAAGATCATATGTGTGTATTGCTGTTGCTGCGACGTCCCGCAACCCGCATAGCTGCATGAATGCATTTCTGTCGCCGGTGAATGCGAATCTTAACAAGAGGCCTGATCTCGGAACTGTCCCAATACTTTCATTCCTTGCCGGGCTGATTGTTGCGTCGCAAATGTGTCGCAGAATAAATTGCCCGAACAGTCCAAGCGGGAGCCAAAAGTCCATGGCCTCGGGTGTGAGTTGTTGATCACATTGTTCAAGCTCTCTTGACAGGTTTGTTTCAGCAGCGCGCAGAGCACAACCATAGCCACAGCGGTAACTGCAACGACAACGTCAGCGACAGCCACAGCTACAACCAACAACCAACAACAACCAGCAACAAGCAAGGACAACAGCAGCCAGCAATAGCCAAGAACAGCCATCACCAACCATGACTGCTGCTGCTACTACTACTAATACTGCTGAAAATGACCCAAGCTTTTTTTATGAACAAGAGTAAAGACAGTCGTACTAAAACAAAAATGGAAGTAATCATACTGACAATCATCACTGCAATTGCAATAGAAAAGTTACTGATGGTTAAGACCGTAGTTAACAGCATAGTAACACAATAAGCCTGCGTATTAGGTCCTAAATCCTGCAAGGAGGCGACGACCCTAGACACGAAACTTCCCAAAAGAGCTGCCGCTTGTTAACAAGCTTCGTCCGGTATCGTCTGCTGCGAGAGTCAACATGTAGGGTTTGGGCTAAACCATGCTAAGCCTTGCACCTCAAAGTTTCACGAAATTCTGCACGTTAGTACGCTAGCAGACGGAAAGAGGCGTTCAATTAAACAAAAGTTTCACGAAAGCAGGTTCACGGAAGACCGGCGTTGAACAAGCAAGAATCGCGGTCCAGGTTTCGGAGTTGCGGAACAGAGATTCCTTGGATCCCAGGTGCTGAACATGTCTGCAACCCCGCAAGATCAGGCCCGGCACGTGAAACCCTGTTAGCATTTATATAGGGCTTATTGAAGGTTTGGGATTTAGGGTTCAAGGTTGAGGGTGTCAGGTTGCATGCCTGTCGGCCATATAGTTAGTAGTTATGGCTAGGCATGCGCAAGGGTGTCCCAGCGACACCCTAAGATTGCGGGAGTGGGACGTTCTGCCATAGACATCCTCATCTTCTCAGCAGAGGAGTCGAAGCCTCGAGGCTCTGCGCCTTGGGACACGCAGAAGACTAGTTTAGGGGCCTGAATAATTAGAATAGGGTTTTGGGGGTTCCTCGTTCGAATTATAGTATAACAGACCCCCAAACCCTAGTCTATAATCATTAAGGCTCCTATACTAAACTTGGGATAGAGCGGCTTTGGATTGGTTCTATCAGGCAGGCGAAGGCTTCTTTTTCTTTTGAGAGCCCCGAGTCTGAGATGAGAGGAGGCCACGTTAAGCCGAAGACAAGAGGGGCCTTGAACAAGTATGGGAGTTTCCGAAAATTGGGGGTACTTTTTTGGGGGGTCCCTATATTATAAGGATCCTTTTTTTTAGGGTAGTATAGATTCGGGTCCCCTATTTTCGGAAACTCCCATATGGACGGGACTTCATGGGTGGCTTGAGTATCCTTAGGGTAGGGGAAGCGGCTAAATGCTAGTACATATGCAGAGAAGGCAGCACAGCGCAAAGAGTTTGGATGGAATTGGAGTGGAGCATGGAGCACCTATTGTGATATGTTGAAAGCATGAGACAAGATACACGAATGGGAACTGGAGCAAACATAGAGCGGATGCGAGGCAAAGCCAGGTCAACACCTTGCACTCTGCTGACAAACAAACAAGTGTACTTGCGCCATTTCACAGCGGGTCCTTCTCGAAAGAGTAACCCGATCAAACCACGACCCAAACCCAGCAACTAGGAATAGCTGAAGAGCGGAACAAAAAATCGCACACACAAATACAAGCAACGCAACACTATATGGGCAAGGCTTTCATCTGACGGCTCGCGACGAGTCAGTCGTCACGAAGTGTTGAAAGCATCGGCGAGCCATGTGCTTGACTCATACTGGTGGTGTGGGTTGTTGGAAGGAGAGCAGGTTTTCAGACTGAAAGTGTGTGGCTGCAGGATAGTTTTGATGGAGCCTTCCCCGAACAGAGGGGGAACGCGCTGCGCGTCCCTTGCAGGCCAAGTTCCTATTGGGAGAGGAAGTCGTGTTGGAAATCCGGCCCACTGGTATCTTGGAACCTGCTTCCAGGCTGCAAGGCCGGGATTCAGAATCCGATTGCTATAGGGGCCTAAATAGTTACCGACACTATTTTGGTGGTTCCTTAGTATATTTACAGTATAATGGGACCCTAAACCCTATTCTATTTATTAACCCCTATATTACTTGGGAATCGATTTCATGAGGTCGCCCCGGGTCAGGAAGGCATTTGGGAGAGACCGAAAGAGAGTGGTAGCAGCGGAGAGTATGGAGTTTATTGAAAGTTCGTGTGGCCATTTCTGCTGAGGAAATTTTCACCCATCAGATGGAGGAGTGCCACAAGGTGCGGCTCTGCATGTTGCTGGGCTTCTTTCAACGGGAGCTTTGCAAGCTGCCAAGATTGCCGCAGACAGCCTAAGTAACCCTTTCAATTCCATGTCGCGGAACCACGCGATGTAGGAAAAACAAGAAAGCCAAGATCATCGTGCCTACGCCCTGACTGGTCTCATCCTAGCTGACAGCCAGGGCCCTGGCGAGTCCAGACACAACACCTGGAGCCAGACTTGTTTTATATTCTCGGCTGCAGGTTCGGAAACTTCTTCAGGTTAACTGATCGGTTCAGTGGTTGAAAGTAGAGGCCGGTGTCGCATTGAGAAAGTGATGGGTGCAATTGTTTCATAGCGGGCAAATTCCGGCACGGGGGAGCTTGATTCGGTCTAATTACTGGTTTCATGGTTCGAACATGTTTGGAAAGTGTCAAGCCTTGGGCAACATCTGCCAGGTGGCAGAACGCAGAATAAACAGCTGGAGGGACAGCGGACAGTACAGCACTTTGCGGGTCTCGAAGTTCCAAAGTGCTGTGCTATCCCTAAATTTCGCTTGTCTTTCTGGCAAACCCAAACTAAAAGGACAGTACAACATTCTAGGACTTGTGGACTTCTAAAAGTGTTGTGCTTGTCATACATTCCTTCCCAACTATACAGATAATATCGCTTCTGCTCGCTCATAACACCTATATATATATATATACATATATATATATATATATAGATGTTCCGATGTTTTGTTCGGAGCTAGCTCCTGGTGTGCAACATGTTGGAAGCTGTCCTGCAGAGACGCCGTTTCCAGTAGCATTTACCACGCTTTCTGTACGTGGAGTAGTGAGGTTCGATACGTCTCGCTGCTTGTCAGAGAGTGGAAGACAGAGGGTGTGGATCTTGGGGCAGTGTCATATGTGCATGCTATACATATGTACATGTAAACACAAGCACGTAGGTATTCATGTACATATGTCAGCATGGACGGAGCGGTGCGGTTTCTGCCCACTTTTTTGTCCGGCCGCCGGCCAGGAGCCTGTATTGCAAAATCTGCAACCTCCTCGGCATCGCTTCCCCGGAAGCACAGGAAAAGGAGAAGCGCCCCCGCAACTCATCATCGAATTAGCTGTACTGCGCTTCGCATCGTAGAGTGCTAGCCTCGGCGGCGAATTCGTGAATGAAGTGACAGACGCGCCCTGCCTTTCAAGACTATGAAGTGTCAGAACAGCATCAGAGCCGAATCTCCAAACATGTTTGTGCGGCTTGAGAATAGGCCTTTTTCGGTATACAGCTTTCGAAAAGACACTTCAGCCCGCACGTGTGACCTTGCCGTCAACCCTGAGCCTGTTGCGGGCAAGCATTCACCGACGCAACCAAGGACAGGAGGGGGAGCAGGTGATAATTTCGTGCATCACCAACAACCAAGCAGAGGAGGGGTCCTGCTCTCGCAAGTTGTTCGGATTTGCGTCCTCATCCTCAATGAATGCGCTCTGGGCTTGGGATTGAGGGAACTTGCTATGAGCAGTTGGAGGCTCCGTGTAGTGAGCTGGTCCAGCTGACAGCATACAGCAACTAGTATTGTCGTGTCGCCCCAGACTGCTGCAGGTCCTTTGGGGTCTGCTGACTGCCGGAGCCTGAACTTCTGGATGACTGACTTTAGCAGGACAGGTTTAAGATGCACAAAAACACAGTCCCTGTCAGTCTTCCACCAGGCGACTGAAGATCCAACAGATGAACATGTGGGCTTATTCACACACCATAACTATGCTAGCCAATCTTTCCCATATTCCTTAACCCTGCAACCCATGAAAGGAGTTCACGTGGAATTACTTCAATTTCTGAGAGCCCCCAGATTCCACAATGCCCATCCCCATGTCCTGGATTCCGCTCATGGTGTCTAGTGTGTGGGAATGTCGGGCATGCAGTGAATCCGGGCTTTGCGGGCATGGTGTGCAGGGTCAGGGGTTTTAGTTATTTCGAGGAATAAACAAGAGATTTTCGCGGATGGTGAATTCTTGTATTCCGCAACATAAAGAGATACAGGAGTGCTCTCAGATGTTTTACATGGATAAGAAGCAAATTGACCGATTGATAAAGATGACTGAGAATCATTATGTGTCTTTGTAATGCATGAAGCCTTCCCACTGGGAGAAGAGCTCTCTTCCTTGTTATGAAAAGAACAACACGGACTACCCGTAAGAGGATGGTGCCCTGCACTATCCCACAACAACCGGTAGGCATGCAACACGGAGTGGCACACAGGATCCGTTTTGGGATTCAGGTGAATTCACCTGAAAAATCGGTAGCGGTAAGTGTAGGTGAAGTGGAGAAACCACTGCAAATTCCGATGGTTTCTTTGTTTGGGAGACAACATACAGATACAGAAGATGGTGGAACATCAGTCGACAAGATTCGACAAGCAGGCCGAATCATGGGGGGGGGTGGGGGGTGACCATCGATGTATGCATATATATATATGTATATACGTATGTTATGTGTTTATATACACATAGATGCACACATGCCGTTTATCGTTTTGGTGGGTCACTGTGCTGATACCCATGATTGCTCGTTCAGATGAGCTCAGGCACGAGGGGAAGCCGCGGCAGTGGTCCATGGATCGATGGACGGCAAAAGTAAAGCAGCTGCGCTGCAAGAGCTCCTTCGCTCAAGCAGTGGCATTATCATGCTGTTTGATTTCAAGTTCCGTTTTGGTTCCAACATGCCAGTCCCTTTACATTCTTGCCTGGGCACAAGCCGTTTTGTTGACAAGACGTCAAAGCTAAGAAGGAGTGCACCCCGCCTCCAGACCGGTGGCTAGAGGTTCTCTCGGTGGGCATTGTGCAAGCTTGCGGGAGACGAGCACAGTTTGTCGACCTAGGTTCCGAGACGGCAAGGTCGATATCCTTCTTGGCTCCAAAGGCTTGATCGAAGGACGGGAGAAAGCCTTGTTTTGTAGCAGTTGCTGTTGCTGTCGCTGCACCGTGCTACATGTTGCTGCTACTGTTGCTGTTGCTTCTGCCGGTGCTGTTGCTGTTGTTGTTATCGTTTATGTGTGTGCGTGTGTTGTTGAACATATTACTGTTTTCTGACACAGCACATTTTAAGTTGTTGCTAGTCTGTGTTGTTTTCGCCGTGGTCTGTTCGTGCTACTAGCGATGATGTTGCTGGTGCTGTTGCTGCTGCAGCTGCGGCGGCTGTCACCGTCACCATCATCAGTTATGATCATCATCGTTGCTGTATCTGCTGGATTTGTTGCTGACGATGATGTTGATGTTGATGTCCGTGTTGTTGCTGGTGTCATTGCTGTTGAGGTGGTCCTGGTGGTGGGGGCGTTGGTGGGTTTCTGTGGTGTTGGTCATCGTTGCACCTCGGACATGGTATTAGAAGTCGTCGTCGTAGTAGTGGTAGTGGTAGTGGTAGCAGTAATAGTCGTAGTAGTAGTAGTAGTAGTAGTAGTAGTAGTAGTAGTAGTAGTAGTAGTAGTAGTAGTAGTAGTAGTGCTAGTAGTAGTAGCATGAGCAGCGGCAGCTACACATACTACTTCTACTGCCACCACCAGAAATACTAACTACCACCTACTGACTACTAGCTACTAGCTGCTGGCTACTGGCTCCTGCTCCTGCTCCTGCTACTGCTACTGCTACTGCTGCTGCTGCTACTGCTCCTGCTCCTGCTCCTGCTGCTGCTGCTGCGACTGCGACTGCTGCTGCTGCTGCTGCTGCTGCTGCTGCTGCTTCTGCGCTCTACTGCTGCTTCTGCTAGTACTGCTACTACTCCTAGCCCAACTCCTACTACTCCTGCTCCGCTCCTACTCCCACTCCTGCTGCGGCTGTCCTTTCTTGTTGTGCTTGGTCTTCTGTGCTCGTTCCTGCCCCGTGCCCCGTACTGTATATTGTGTCGGCTATGGTGATGGGGCTGTTCAGCCCCTGCTTCTGTTGCTGCTTCTCTTGCTTTGCTGGGCGATGCTGAAGGTTGTCGTGAGAATTTCATCTTCAGTACCTCTCAGTCAGTAAAGCAGCAGAAGGAGGAAGAGCACCGGAGTTTGTGTGTTGGTTGTGGAAGGTTCGGCTCTCATTGCAACGGTCTTCAGCATCCGTTGTCTATCTCAAGCCCAAGCCGGGAGCCCTAACCTTTGAGGTCTAGAAGCTCAAAGCAATAATCAGCTCCCCAAGCCTTGGAGCTTCTTTGTTGCAGCTTGTGCCCGATCGACCAGCCTCGGGCCATCTACCGTTGTCCTACCTCATGGTCACGGCTAGGAGTCCAACAAGGGCAAAAGCAGGTAAGGGGGTTTGTGCAAGCACAGCCTCTGCCCAACAATCCAAGTTCGTGCCCTGAGAGGCTTAGACTTTCCGAGTGTGGCCATGGTGATTGTCCCAGATGCTGACACTCCGGGACTGTTTCGTGCTGCTCCTTGACGGCAGTCTAGGCCAGGATGTGACTGCTCTCATCCGCCATTCTTGGCTCATGATTGATGTTGCTGGAGTCTGGAGTTTCAGCCACAGGCGGCAACAGCGATGCTGAGTGCTTTTCTTTAAAAGGTGCAGAAGGAAACGAGCCTGTCATGCTGAGTCATCCTGCTGCACCCAGGAATTTAGGACATATTTTGTCCTGTATTTCAGCCCTACAAGCACTGACATTAAAACTTCGTGCAGCTGCAGAGCTGTCCTATGAGCAACATGGAATCTATCGGCAACATGCACGCCGAAAAGCTTGGCCTTCTTGGTGATGCGGCCTTGTTGCAGACGAATCATCGAGCCAATAAGTTTAGTCCACATGTTCTACGTAAGAGCCCTCGCCGTCTGCGGCATCGCATGTGTGGAGATTTGTTTGCAGACTCAGCCTGTCAATGCAACGGTGGCAAGAAAACCAAGCGTCATGGCAGCATCAAAGCTATTATGCTGACAGCTTTGTCTAGCAGCCTTAAACCTAAAATGGCGCTCTCCGAGGTCACCCCACTAAAGCAACTAATCGGACGAGCATCGCGCCACAAAGCGGGAAGGGTGCCGCTTGGCGGATGAGGGAGGTACAGGATGCGCTGCCAGGCATCTGTGAGGATTCCTTGAAGGGTCTTTTGGCAGCTTCTTTGATGAGGCTTCTTTAAAGCGAGCGGTTTTTTGGGGTTGTTGTTGCATAGGGGTTTCTATAGCGGCCTTTGGGTTCTCGATGAGGGTTGGTGCGGCTATTCGGGGTTGAACGCCCTAGATACCAAAACCTAAATCCTGAGTTCGCAGATCGAGAGGGGCATCCAGTTTGGGCAGTTACCCATGGGTCTTTAACGTTTAGGGTTGAGGATTTAGGGCTGGGTCGAAAGCTTAGGGGTTACTGCCAAGAGTGCAGCGGCTACGAGATCCCAGGCGGGCATGGACAAGTCTGTGCAAAAACGGCTGAGCCGAGAAAGCTGTCAGCATGTCTTGATGGAGAAATGCTGGGAGGGAACCGTTTGCCTTATTCAACAGTCTGGACATGTCTACGCAACATCAGTGTCAGTATACCATCTCCAGACCATCTGAAAGTCAACTTGCATGATGTGGCTTCATGTGTAAAGCCTCAACCGAGAAATAAGAGGCACCGAGGATTGAGCAAGCCTTCCGTCCCATGTCTGAAACCGTGTGCTGGGCGGAGGGGGCAAGTTCGGCGTATTTGTCATGCAAGGTCACGGTGTCACGGTCAGCTCGCATCAGTAGTGCCATGCAGCGCATTGGGCACGAAGTCCAGTGAGTGATCTTCGATTATCGGCAATCGCCGAGGTATTTCCTGACAGCGAGGAGGGAGCGCAGTGCCGCGACCCTACCGCCTGGCGCTGCTAGACCCTCTGGATGCAACGGCAGAGAGCGAGAGAGAGAGAGAGAGATCAAGCTGGTAGCCATTTTGCTCAAGCACCTGTGGTATGAATGCTTGTTTCAAGCTTAAAGCCTAGCATCACCAGCAGCAACGGGGGCAATACAGTGTGGAGTGCTAGGAGGTCGAGCCAACATGAACGGAGTTTAGACAGTCGGTCATAGGACAGAGCTCCTGCATTTGTGTGCCTCACCAGTTTCGTGACTATGATTCACCGCAGCCTCTCTCAACAACTTCAATCCAACTTTGTGCTCGGGAAGCGTTGCGGCTCAGCTCGCAATGAAAAAGCGACGTCCACAGTCCCGGCTTCCTCAACACAACAGCGGCCGGACAAGAAAAAAGGCCAAGTTAGTAGCGGCACTTCGACAAGCTTGCGATCCAGGCTTTGTGCTCTTCGGTGGCAGCCCACCTTGCCGGTTTCAACGTGCAAACGGGGTGAGCCAGCGGGCCATTTCGGCCATGAAGTCTTCATGGCCGAAGTAGCCTGCTGGCTACGTTGAAAGACGTTTTGCAAGGCCCCAGAGCATCCAGAGCATATACATGCAGAGGGATGTCGAAGTGAAGCAGGAACTCCGGAAGATCTGCACCACAAAAGCTGGTGTCGTCAAGTGGTGCGACTTGGCGAGAGTGTTCCAAAGCTTACAGATGAAAGCTTTGGAACACTCGCACCAAGTCGCACCACTTGGCGACAGCAGCTTTTGTGGTGCAGAGACATCCAGATGTTACTGTTGAGGCTGTGGCCGAGATTTGGACCTTTCTTGGCGGTGGTGAGGAGCTGCCGCTAGACACTTGTCTTCGGTACTGCCTCCCCGGAGGGGACTTGCCCTTAGTACCCCTTCTCTCCGTCGAAGAAGAATAGAGGAGGATGGCTTGAGCGGACGTCGAGGCGCATGCGTCTTCCCGGGCTGACTTGTTGAAGGCTAATGCAGCATTGACAGCAGAACCCGCTGAGCTTGATCGAGCTGTTCTGAGTGTGGTGGTGCAATCCATGTCACTTTCCGTGCAACAGTCAGAACAGCTGAAGCACACGTCGCGTTCCTGTGTCTGGTGTCGTGTGGAGGATGCTGACCATGCAGTGGTCCCCTGTGGACACCTGTGCTATTGCCACAGCTGCGTGCAGAACTTGAGAGGTGAATGGAAAGAGAAGTGCCCGGCCTGTAGGCGGTTTTACAGGGAGCTTGTACGAGTGTTTACTTAGCAGCTAAGCAGCCGTGCACTGGCCCGGTTGCTTTGAACGGAGACCTAGTTGTTGCCTGAAAACCTCAAAGACAGCTGACCGGGGGATGTGGAGCATCCGCCGACCTTTGCACTGTAACAAGCAGAGCCATGACTGACCACTCTGGTTTACTATCCATTGTGCCAAAGCCTATATACAAGCCTATACACAGCCTGGCACTGCACAAATTTCCTCGCAATATCACTTTCCATTGACTTCGCAAGCCGGGGCCCAGATTCTGGCTCTGATCGCATGTCACAGTGATAATCGTTTTATTGCAGTTTGAATGCATCGACTTACCTTGAGAACCTGATTGTCGAGCGATTTTTTGAGTACATGTGGGAACCTGCGAAGCTGTAGTGATGCACCATAGTGACTCGAATTGTACGCTTGTGTTTCGAACCTAGCAGGTCCCACAAACAAGCCAGATGACTGGGAGGAGTATCTTGGGTTCGTGCTGTGTTTGTATTAGGTCCATCTTAATAATGTGAAGTCATTCCGGCAAACAAGCCCCCGTGCTGCATCGACCTGAACTGAGCGTTGATCTGTAAACCCTCACGTGGTCTCGGCAACTATGTCGCTGACACAGGGGAAACCACTCAGCCTTTTCACGCTCCTCCACAAGCCCCACGAACAACGGGGAGAGCCTCTAAGGCCGAGGGGCTTCAGACACCCTTAACGCCCCGGGGAAGAAGAGATGAAGCTGGCCCGGGTTGTGGGGTTCGCCCCAAACGCCCCACAAGCAAGCAAGCAAGATCAAGCTGGTTTGGTTGTGTTGGTTGAAAGTTCCCCGGCGAACCTACCACCCTAAACCCTAAACGGCCCTAAACCCTAAGCCTCACTCGTTTCAGCTCATGAGCACTGCTTCAAGTCCGGATGCGACCGCCCCAATCAGGCAGTTCTGGAGAAAATCGACAAGGAGAGCAAAACACTTCGAAAGAAGCAGGCCCCTCCGACCTAATGTAGGGCTTCAGCATTTCACAGAGGGCTCTAGGGCTTTACTTGGTACAGAGTCGGTGAGAAAGATGCTGCTTGCTGCAGCCTTGAAGGAGCATTTGGGAGACACTTTCGTTCGACAAATGTCACGTCCGATTTATAGTTCTTCTCAGAGAACGAGGCGTCCTGTGGGACGGTATCTTCCGGCTACTGGAGGAGGGTAGTTCCTCGTAATTCAAAACCATTCTCTTAATGCACAATCATTCAGAATCATTCTGACACATGTCACATTCCAGATAATTCAACGCAGGTTCATAGAATACGAAATCCTTCCAAACAGTTCAAACAACTCGCCGGCGACTCGACTCAGTTTGTGTGAGATTACCTTTGCAAGCCTGTGCTTCGGTGTCCCTGTCTGCCTATGTTTCGACTCCATAGGCCAGGCCAGTTCGAGCTGTTTCGGACTTCCAGTTTCCGTGCCCGCACAAATCTGATGGGTTCAGGTGTTCAGGGGTTTGGGGTCAGGGTTTACGCCTTAGACCTTCGTGGCTTTCTTTACCCAACACAACTCTAAACCCTGAGTCTTCTTTGGCTTCAGTTCCATGCTGCCGTTTGATGCACTTGGTTGATACCAAGGGCCTTGCCTAAACGTTGTGAGCAGACACCCCCACGGCATTCCAGGGGCATTAATAGTTACCTATGCTAATTTTGGGGGGCTCCTTATTATAGTTATATATATATATATGTATAGGATAGTGGGCCAACCCTATTCTAGTTGTTAAGGCCCCTGTATTAGCGCACTTTCAGGTGTTCTTTGAAGCCGGACTGACCCCCGCAGACACGCAAGATTTGCTTTCCCTTCATAAACTTCTGACAAACTATCAACTCGAGATCTTCCTGTGCAGCCTGCCCCGAGCAGCGTTTCACTGCCGACAGCGAAACACCATCCTGGAAGGAAGGAAGTCGTGGAATAGATGTGTTTTCGATCAGATGTTGCTCCTTTTCGAACAAAGACGTTGGGAGTGTTCTTAGGTTGTGGGTTGTTTTTGGCTTGTTTCGACAATCTGCGAATTGACAGCTCTTCGGTGTATACATTTTTGGGTGTGTTTTTGTCGTTATCATTCCTGGCTGTTTGTACGTTTCCACAATCTCTTCTCGGACTGTTCTGAATTCTAGTTGATGTTTTTCTGTGTTGCTGCTTATTTCTGAGCGTTCCTCAGACATGGGATTGCGAGCTGGTGGAGGTCCAGCACTAGACACACCTTGATTTCCGATGTTGAACTTTTAAGACTCTACTGTCTAAGTCGCTGGCCAGATTTTGAGTCGCTGGCGTACTCCGCAGAGTTGTGAAATCCGGCAAGTCTAGGTGCAGTAGCAGCAGCAGTAGTAGCAGCAGTAGTAGTAGGAGGAGTAGTACTAATCACAATAGCTTGATTCCGCCGGCGCGAGCGCTACTATAGTACTAGTACATTGTGCCGGCAGATTAGAGTCGGTTATTGTTGTACAAAGCTCGGTCAATCTTGGTTCTCCCTGGGGTAACGGGGGCAGGGGTTCCGGTTTGGCAATCTTGTTGATCTTGATATGTTAGCACCACCTTGGGGGGGAGGGTGGGGCCGGCAATGTTGGTCATCCAAGATTGCCCAGATGACCAAGATTATCAAGATTGCCGGCCTCGTATTGCCACGACAACGCACAAACCAAGATGTCCAAGATTAAGCTTGTCACCGATCTTGCACACATTCGCGATCAGAATATACCACTACCAGTAGCAGTAGTAGTAGCAGTAGAAGTAGAAGTAGTAGCAGTAGTAGTACCACACACACACACACCCGTATTTGGACTGGTGTGTTCATGCGTTTCGGAGTCGGTTTGCACGACAGGAGCGGGGGTGAGGGGGGTGGGTGGCCGGGGGGGGGGGGGGGGGTGATAATAGCTTTCATGTCACTGCTTGGCCGACCATGCCCAAAACGCTGGTATTTAGAGCATGTTTGCCTCTCTGCCTCTTTGTACAGCATACATACTGTGCAAGTAGTGCTTACCTTTGCGAAAACGCTTAAAACGCCCGCAGCAAAAGAAACATCCCAAACCTTCAAAAACTACTTTGTGACTTTTGACACACGCAGCTGCCTAATGCACGTTTTTGTCGGCCTTGCCAATACTTTCGACACTTCATGAGGCCAAATGCACTGTTGTTTGCATGTTGTACTTTTCGTGGCAGCCGAAAGCGCCGTAAGGGTGCTCAAGTCTGAAGACTGCGTTCAGTCCGAAATGCATGAAAACACCAGTCCTCCTCATGTCCTAGTAGTAATAGTAGTGGTAGTAGTAGTTGTTGTTGTTGCTGTTGTAGTTGTAGTAGGCAGTGGGCAGTGCGTAGTGGGAAGTTTGTAGTAGCAGTAACATTAGCAGTACAAGGTAGTAGTTCCATCAAGTCCAGTTGTGAGGTAGTAGCAGTAGTAGTAGTAGTAGTAGTAGTAGTAGCAGTAGCAGTAGCAGTAGCAGTAGCAGTAGCATGTTAGCTGCCGATCCCCAGCTGATGATGGCATAGAGCCTGGGTTCAAATGTAGCAGCAGCAACAGCAGTTGTAGTTAGTAGTAGTAAGTAGTTAGTACTAGTAGTAGTAAATGGTGAGTAGTAAGTCGTAGATATTATTCGTAGGTAGCAGTAGTTGAAATTATTATTATTTTATTATTATTATTAGTAGTAGTCGTCGTCGTCGTAGTGTTAGCCGGTGGTAGTGGTGGTATAGCAGCAGTAGTAGTAGCAATAGTAGTAGCAGCAGTTGTAGTAGTAGTAGCAGCAGAAGTAGAAGAACAAGATGTAGTAGTAGTCCAGTACTAGTACTCGTACTCGTAGTGGTAGTGGTACTAGTGCCAGTGCTAGTACTAGTACTAGCACTGGCACTAGCAGTGGCACTAGCAGCAGCAGCAGCAGCAGCAGCAGCAGGCACTGGCACTTGCACTGGCAGTAGCAGTGGCAGGGGCAGGGGCAGTGGCAGTGGCAGCAGCACTAGCACTAGCACTAGCAATGGAAGTGGCAGCAGCAGTAGCAGCAGCAGCAGTAGCAGCAGCAGTAGCAGTGTTAGTAGTTGTAGTAGTATGGTGGTGGTAGTATAGTAGAAACAGTCGATTCAAATGTATCAGCAGTAGCGGCAACAGCAGCTGCAGCAACAGTAACTGTCGAAGTGGTGGCGGTAGGGATGGTGATGGTGGTATTAGTCGCAATGCAGCATTTGTTAACATCTTGTTTCTTGCAGGCCGAATACAACGCAGAGAGGGGCTTGAAGCCTGAAAGCATCCACAAGTCTCAGGCGCAGCAAAGTCCGCAGCCGTGAGTAGCGAGACTGCATTGACTACAGTCGGTGTAGGTCCGTCATCAGACGTTCGCTTGCAACCAGCAACATGGTGCGGCAGAGCGGCCAGGTCAGTGGCAAGAGAAAGGACACGAGTTGGGAGCCAACAGAAGGGCTTGAGGCCGCGGTTCTTTTCTTCGACGCTGCTTGTTGTCCTTCATTGCAGTCTCCGCATCCGGCTGCAGGAGTGGAAGATCTGCTTGCGGGCGACAGCTGCTATTCTTCAAGCGGCCTGCCGCTTCAAGTCATGCGTAGAGGCAAGAGAAGAGAAGGACTGCTCCGAAGCAAGAGGTGACAGGAACAGTGATTGAGGGTGCACAAGATGGCTAGCCTGCCAAAGCGCATAATGTATTAGTTAGTCTGCCGCAGGACGAAACTCCGTATTGGATGAAGGATGCGACGGAGGCAATCCTGAAAAGAGATTTCTTCAAGGAGCTCGCTCATATCCACTCAACATCACTCAACCGCATGACCCTTCAACTCCCACTGCACACACTATCAGCTATCACTTCTACATTGCATCTTCTACTGATTCATATGGGAGTTTCCGAAAATTAGGGGTACCTTATTTTGGGCTCCTTATAATAAGGATCCTACTATTTGATACTACATTAGGGTCCCCTATTTTCGGAAACTCCTAAAGGCCACGCTATAATATGCACGGGCCCGGCCGTTGCTGTTGAGCATCTGCCTGGGTGAGAATGAGAATTCCTAGGTTCAGGGGTTCAGCGGTTAGGCTTAACATAGGGGCCTTACTAGTTACCTATACTATCGTGGGGGTTCCTTTTTATATTCATCGTATACTACACCGCAAAACCCTATTCTAATCATTAAGGCCCCTACAGTAGGCTTAAGGCTTGAGCACCAGGGAATCATCAGCCCTGGATAGCGCTGGTGACCATACGTGACTTGAAGTTTCGAATGATTGGATGATCAAGCGATAATTACCGAGGATACTCATGCTCTCACAGATTTTGTGATGTTCACATGATGTGATTTGCTTTGTCGTTCTGCAGTACAGTTTCAACAGTGCGAGGGCCCCGCTGCATTGACTTCGCATGATTTGGAGGCTAATTTCAAGCCGAGTTCACTGAAGTTCGCCGGTTCGGGGCTGGGTGGTTTAGCAGCTGGGGCCACCTGAGTTCGTCGATGGACCAAGCTCGTGGCCTTTTCTGAGACTCAGTCTACTATAGGATTTCAGGAATCTAGCTCTTTTGTGGTAATTGCCAGGTTTTGTGACTCTTTTGCAGATGCTAAACTCTTAACGGAGTTCGTGTTATGGCTTACATAGGTTTAGGGTTTAGGGGGTTCCGAAGCCGCAGGACAGCAACAAGTTGTTTCAGCAGATCGTCCTGACGGTCTCCGTGGATTACATCGGGCCTGTCCCGCAGCTGCAGCTTCGAATGTCCCAAGGGTCCAAGTATAGTTATAGTATATACTTATAGGGTATTTTGGGGGTCTAAGTATAGACCATAATGATACTTGGACCCTTTGCGTGTGTGCCGTTGGGGGCATAGGACTCAAGGCTTCGCGTGTTTAGGAATTACGGGCTCTTGTTTGAATTTGTTTGGTTGCTTCGGTTTTGACGTGTGTAGTGGCAGAACTCTCCCCTTGTTCGGCTGTCTCAGCGGTTGCGCCTACTGGGTCTTGAAGCACATGTCGTCTGTTGCCCATGCCCTGACTCAAATGGCCATTCAAATTGCCAGCAGGCCGCTCGTTAATGCCACCTTTCACAAAACGGCTTTCATCCATCCAGCCAGGAGAGATCAAAATACCTGCTGGACAAGTTGGGGGACATTGACTACCTGCTGAGCCCATACTGCGACAGAGCAGATCTGGCATCTCAGTGGCAATAGTCCGAGATTCTGCCAGCAGGCAGTGGGGAGCAGGTGCCGTTTGGTACGACCCTGGTACTCTTGGAGAGAGTAGTCGTGCTTACGGACGGAGCTGTGAGGTGATAGATAGAACAAGAGTAGCTACTTAACTCTCCTCGTCACGGTCGCATGAAAGAAAAGTCCAGCCTGCACTGTACCGAGGAAGCAGTGCCGCTGATCGGCAAAAACATCAGCCACCCGGGCTATCAGAGGTGCAGTATTTAGTGCTTGGACATTGCGACACTTGACAACGTAACTGCTTTCTTGGGCCAGGCTCGGGATGATGTGTCGAGTGCTTGTTTCCTTTTTGTTGAAGGGGCACCAGACACTACCAAATTCAGGTTTCCGGAAGAAAACAAGTAGTGCTACTGTGCGACTTCTTGCCACTATTGAGTCGATGAAAGAAGGCCCACGAGAATGCCCACGGTACTAAAATCACGTCTCATTGGCATTGACTGAGGCGAAGATCTCTACAACGTGTCTTTCCGAAAGATAGTTCGGGGCACAAGGCCGGCATATTGGAGCCCTTTGAAGCGGCAAGTTTTCGAGTGAGCCCGTTTCGTGCCACGACTGAGCGCCACGGCCATGAGTGCCGTTAGGGTCACAGAAATGTCTCCATCGCAGGAGGAAGCTGTCGGAGATGAAGGAGATGCTGAGAAGAAGCTTGGCAGCAAGCGGGAGGGCAGCAACGAGCCAGCCAGTTTTCATGGTGAGCACGTGGCTCCATGCCCGAACTCGTACAGTACGCTCCAACGAGTTCGCAATCTAAGTCGGGATTTGGACACAGAGTCGTTGGCGATAGCTTTCATAATTGGTCATCGCAGTAGCTGACATCACATCATGCTACTGAGACCCATCCAGGTTTGCTGGATCCGCGGAATCTTCCTGGAGATCCGGAGAAGGAGGCGCTGTGGCGAGAGTTTGGCTTTGCTCCATAATGACTGGTAGATTTACCCTTGTACTTCCATTGTCCACGCCTTTGTTATCATCAGGTTGCCGTTTTGTCCAGAATCTGTCCCTGGATATGTGCCGTCTACATGTCACACTTGTTCCATGGGCCAGCATCCATGTTCCAGCGAGGCCAACGCTATCTTGAAAGACGTCCCGAGTCAAGAGTGTTCCAAATGGGTACCTTGGTTGCAGGTATAAGTTGCTATCCAGGGAATCGGAGCTTTGTGGGTTAGGCACTGCATTTTCCAATCATGAAGCTGCCCTCGTCTTTTTAATGTAACATTACATTGAAGGAAGCAGACGGTGCAACCGTTGTGAGCTCTTGTGTTGTTCTTTCAGAACCCTTTTTGTGAGCGTCTGTACGCGTCAAAGCTACTCTCGTGGCAGCGAGGTGCGCTTGCTGACGGGGAGGCTGGTGGCAGAGTCATTGGGAAGCACGGTTGAGCTCTACTTCCAGAACATGGTCATAAGTTGCAAGCCTTTCACACAGAACAACAAGCAAACGAACAGGCACACAGTCGAACAAACAAACAAAAATATCAAATAAGCGTAGGCAGAAGCCAACAACAACTAACCGACCAAACACACAAGCAAACAGAGAGACCGACAACCAACCACACGAGCACCTGACATGAGTACAAGCGCACAAACGTGCACGCACGCAAGCAATCCAGCAACCAGGCAGATACACAAGCACACGAACAAAGAAGCGAACAAAGAAAGAATCGAGCGCACATGAGAACAATCAAGACACACACACGCACACACAAACAAAAGCGCACAGTCCTACAAACAAGCTAGCAACCCAAGATATGACGACACAAAGCATCAGCGAATCTCACAACCAAGCAAGCAATCAAGCAAAACAACAAACGCACAAACATACATCAGGCAAAAAAGACAGACAGACAGACAACATAAGGAACACACTAACACCAAAATGGCGATGTAGGAGGCAAACTAAACAAGAACACAAAAACTAAAAGCAGACACGGGCAAACACTACAACCAATGAACAACTAGCAGTAACTAACATTTTGTAAGGCCCCTAGACCTGAACGGTCCATCTGAAGTGAAAGCCCCTCAAAATTCAACATCAAAGCCTTTCGCTTCTAACAGGCCGGCAGTTCCTCTTGGGTTTTTTCAGAACTTGAGCCCTGGACCCCAGAATGCTGGAGCTCGTCTGCAACGACCTCAAGAAGTCCAAGCCTTGAGAGTCCAACCACCTCGAGCCCACCTGGTACAGCTTCCTTGGCGGGAGCTGTTATCGGGAGCCATTTTAAAGAAAGGCCTGCGCGAAAGGTCCAACTCCCTCATCGGCGCTAAGCGTGGTCGATATATTGTACCCGACGCAAATGACAGAATGTTCGACCAAGGCTATGTAGTATGAAATCCATTGCACCGCAAGTAAGTCTACCATAGGTGTGCTTCGTACACATACGTATGTGTATATATATATATATATATGTGTGTGTGTGAACATGTTTCGACAATTGAAATGTAGAGGACCATCACCGACAACATGGTGATTCTGTGGCAATGCTGGGGCACGACGCATTGCTTTGTTAGGCTTTGGCGGCGACAGTCTAGAGGTCGTTCGGGAATGCTATTCCAGCTATGCAGCCTCGCATGGATGTGCGCTGCCGTAGCATGGTCACTTACCCCACTCCTGAGACTATTGGTTTAGTCACTACCTTTGGGCTTTGCCGAGCCATGCACGCAGCAAACCAGACTTAATGACGAACGACCGCACGACGAAGAAAGAGACAGTCGCTGTGCCAGCGGGGTTTTCCGCAGCTCCATGCTGCTGCCATACCTTCGTTTTGTTCACCCACCTCGTTCCCAGCGACACAGCAGGCTGAGGCACGGGAGGTCAACAAGATGCCAAGATCTTCCGTATTTTAACGTTTGCTCCTGGTCAATGCAGATATCCATATTCGTGTTACCTGTTACGATAGCCCAGACCTTGGGGCAGCAGCGGAGCTGCCCGAGTGGGCATCCAGCCGTAGAACAGAAGCAGGCTGAACCACCTGCCTGCAATAATTAGCACTGGTCTGCACCGGCCGCTCTCCTGCGTTCCCATGGGCTAAAAGCATGGTCCGTCAGAAAGCCTGCAGAGCTAGCTCTTTGAGGACAACGTTTTTTTGCGGGGTGGGTAGGTATGCGGAGCAGCTGGAGCGTCCTGAAGCACGTCCCTGCCTCTCGTATACTCTGTGGAGGAGCAGCGCGTTCTTTGCATTTCGCTTCACGTGGATCAGCCCGGAGCTGAGCGTGGCTCGGGCCCAGCCTATAACACACTGGCCAGAAGGTCCCGCAGCGAGATCTGTAGCATAAGAACCGAAAGATTGACACTTCTTCAATCAGCCCGATGCCGAGCACTAAAGGCCCCGGGTTTTCGTGCTCAGGAGCGATCTTCATTTCTTCCCATTCCTCAAGGGAAAGGCACGCTTTCAAGTCGTGTAGCACGTTTGCGTAGATGTCCCATCGATGGACTGACGAGAATGCCGGCAAACGGCATCTTCTGTGCATCTCCGCCCGTTCGGGAAGGAGCTTTGCATGTGCAGCGCGAGCACTGCCCCAGGCTGAAGAGAGGGGCTACGGCGCCGGCCGCGGAGCAACCATGAATCTGCCTTTGCCGGAAGGCAGCAGCCCGGTTTGAGATCGGTAGCAGCCAGGGTGGGATGGGTGTGTTCATTCCCGGATAGCCTTGTCGGCAAGGCTTCACTTTTCCTGCAGCACATGTTGACTACAAAGACAGCAGAGGCATTGTGAGACTAAGTAGAGAGCCATGGCAAACCTTGCAGGATGGGATAGCGCTTAAACTACAAAGTACTGCGATTTGGGTTCGGCACCTTAAACCGTTCATTGCCTACCTTGTGCGAGGTGCTAGAGTCGAAACCTTTTCGTTTCCTTGCAGGTTCAAGCGATGCCGAAGCATGGAAGATGCTGTCTGTTCCTGGGCAGAAAAGTTCTCTCTGCAATTCGCTAACAGAACAGGCCAGGGTCCGTCGGCCGCAACACAGCTGTGGATTGCAGAGAAAGCACAGCACAGACGACCTTGAAGCCAGCATGTCGAGGCACAGTGTTTCATCGTGATTTGCCCGTTTCGAACCCTCGGGCTCGAACTTGTCTCCGATCGATGTGAATTTTCCGACCATAGCCGAGGCATTTGCATGGCCTGCAGTCGAGGCCGTGGGAAGCATTTCAGACAGCTGAGCTGGATGTCTTAGGTGTGGATCTATGCGCTTCGGCAGGTTATTGTGTAAGTGATAGGAGCTCGCAGCAGCCAGAGAAGTCATAGCAATCAGTAAGTAGTAAACGAATGGCTACGGGATATCTTGGCCTTATCTAGTGGATTCGGTTTCTGTGCTTCTCGGGAGAGCTGTCGTCGTTGCCGCAACTTCAGCAGTGGCAGGACTAGCAGTAGCAGAGCTGAAGGAGCGGTAGCAGTAGTAGGAGTAGTAGTAGTAGTCGTCGTCGTAGTAGTAGTAGTAGTACTAGTAGTAGCATCAGTCGTAGTAGTAGTAGTAGTAGTAGTATCAGTCGTAGCGGTTGTTGTGGTAGTGTAGCAGCAGTAGTCAGTCGTAGTTGTTGTTGGTGTGGTGGCAGGAGCAGTGTACTGGTTTGAGCACATGCACTAGCA